AGGACCCCATTAGTTCATGTCAAAGACAATCACTGCTCCTTCTCGGAGCGAGCTGAGCTGAAAACACAATTAGGTGAGCCTAAAGTACAGTAACAATTCACAGCATTAGGGCAGCAGTGTTAAATAAGTTGAACAGACATTTTGCTCGAGGACAGAAGACAGAAGAGAAGTGGGGGCTGTTACTATTCTAATGAGAGCTGCATGCAGAAGGGGATAAGCAGCACTCTTCACCTTACATACCAAAACCCTGGCTGCTGAGACGGCTTCATTAAGCTCAGCAGACTATGGGCTGTCACTCCTGAAAATGGGCAAGGCGGCCAAAGGAATGGGAAACAACAACACAGTAATAACGTTGACATTTACAATAGGCGTCGGATATCATATCCAATTTCTCCCTGCACACCCTTAATTCCTTTTTAATTGCTTTTCCGTGTCGGTTCCGGGATAAGGCCGTCTCTCTTCATTTATGAACGTGAAGAGATGGGGACAGTGGTGTGTGGAGGGACGGCTGATGATGGTGTGTATGTGTGTATGTATGTGTGTGTGTGTGGGGGGGGGTATCAGATGCTGAAGGGGGGTGTTGGTTGCAGGCAAGTTGCAAGGCCAATACTGAGATAATTGGTGCCTGTTTCAAACAAATCAAATACTTTTTAAAAGAGATTTAATTAAACACTAGAAATCTGACTTAATTTGATGAAAGTAACTGAAGAATTAAATGATCATGATATAGATGATTAATTATCCTGCAGCACGCTGCTGAATGAATATGTTCAGAGTTTCAAACACTCATTCTTAAGAGTGGATTATGGTGCAAATGAGAAACAAGAATACAAAAATATATTTCTAAAGCTGTACACATATCCAACATAACACTTAGTAATAAATACATATAGGCTAGTTTGTAAAACCAAATAGTTGAAAGGACAAGTTGTGGCTTCACAGGGGTTCTGTACGATTTACAGGCTAGCCATTTCCACTTGTGCCGAGGCTTTATGCTAAGCTAAGCTAAACGATTACTGGCTGAAGAGTGGTATCAATCTTCTCATCTACCTCTCGGTAGGACATATGGTGTGTATGTTTGTCTCCCAAATGTCAAACTGCTCTTTCACCTTGGACCAAACTTCAACAGGAATTACTTGAATAATACAGCGGTTCCGCACTTTTTAAGATTGAGCAGTAAACAACATCAATGAAGCATCAGGTCCATCACGCTGCTGCCTGACTGACGGCACAGCCCAGTGCACCACCACATAACTTGGCAACCCTGTAGTTACTTTTATCCAACAGAGTGTGTGGTGGTTAATCATAGCCCATAATTTCCATAATTCATGGATGCCCATCTGTTTGCCACCTCCCCCCATGCCCAGTGCAGAATAAACAAATTCAGGAGAGGGGCCAAGGGGCTATTTAATGACAGCATCAGCCCTGGCTTGTGCAAATACACACACACACACACTCACTCACACACACACACACACACACACACACACACACACACACACACACAC